CACCTCATTCTATCATCACACACATTTGCGATTGTTTGTCATTCATCAGCAGATCGATAATCATATGGACTGGTAATGTTGACGAGTATCATCACGTCTGGGCTCATTGCAGTAGCCTTATATGTAATTTTGATTTCAACAATCTCAGTAATGCTATAGCATTATACTATATGCTATAGCATTATACTATGTAGTTTTCATTTCAACAATCTAATTAGTGTGAATGCTAGAGTTGCTGGACCTTCGTGAGCTGCTTGAACTTCGTGTGAATGCTAAAGGTGATGGGACGAAGAGTTCAGTTCACTCTTCGCTTGCTTGCAGCCTCATTCTTGTTCTTCTTCTGGTCATTCCTCTTCCTGGTCTTCCTGCTGGATGAGGATTCGTATCCACATGTTCTGTTGCCGTCAGTGTAAATTCTAAATACTAAAAGAAAAGAATAAAAATGTTATCATGTCATGCTTCCTGTACGCAATGGATATCAGTCCCCTTGCACTGCACCTCGTGCGTCATCATTCACCTCGTGATGTGATGTCAACGCGGCTCTGGTTTTGTTCTGGCTGCACTCTGGTTTAATCCACGGGTTGTATGCACTCTGGTTTAATCTGCGGTTTGTATGCACTCTGGTTTAATCCGCGGGTTGTATGCACTCTGGTTTAATCCGCGGGTTGTATGCGTTGTGGTTTAATGCATTCCAGTTGTGTTTGCCAACAAGAGATTCGCTCTGAGATCACTGGTTGCATCGGACTTGAAAAGTTTCATCAACCAGAATGATAATCTGACGCCAGAGGGACAAGCTGAGGTCTGTCTTGTGGTCAGCTTAATGTTTCATGGGACTCACTAGTGCCTGGCTCCACTACACAATTCTCTACGCTTCTGGACCATGAGCATTCGGGCGAAACTTTTTTGAATGTATCGGTTCCAGAAAGCGTCCAAATGCATGTATAAGTGTTGTGTAGTGGAGCGAGGCCCTTAGTTCTTCTTCTTCTTCTTCTTCTTCTTCTTCTTCTTCTTCTTCAGCTGCTTCTGTGCCTATTGCTGTTGTTGTTGTTGTTGTTGTTGCTGCTGCTGCTGCTCGTTTGATCGTCAACACTGCCAACTGTCGTCATTACCACCGTGAGCACATCGCGGAGCGAGTGATAGAGGAAATGAAAAGCTCAAAAAGACCACAGCTAGCAAGGGAACCCAGGCAAAGGAGAGCGGGGAGATGGACAGGGGGGCTCGAAAGAATAGTGGACGGGAAAGGCAGAAGCGACTCCAAAAGTGGAAACAACAAGGAAGACGAGAGAGCAGAGAGCAGATCTGGAGGAGAGCAGATCCTCAGGGCATACTCACACTAGCACGTACAATCCGTGTCAATAGCAAATTATATGTGAGCCAATTTGCGATTATACGGCACTTCCCAGTCACACAGCACACCCGTATACGTCACAAAACAGAAAGGACACAGTCTCGACCTGCTCTAGGAATGCGATTATACGGGCCGAGGGGTCACGCAGCACGCTGCATAGAAATCCATCCCTTTTCCTGTTTTTTTTTTTTTTTTTTTTTTTTTTTTTTTCCCTTTCTTCTTACGAGAGCTGCCCACCAATCGTCAAATTCTATTTTGTTTGTTTCCTGAAAGAAACGGGTCTAAATGAAATACGCAAGTGTGGGGACCTCCAGAGGTTCCCGCAAAATACGTAACCCCGCAGCTGTCCAAGCCGCTGACATTTACGTGCCCAGTTGCGTGAAAACGCTACACGTAGCCCTTGTGACCCAAAAAATCACCTACAACTTACGATTTTATGAAAATGCGTGCTAGTGCCAGTATGCCCTCAGAAAGGTTGAAAAAAGCTCGCCTTTTTCTCGATTGCCGCAGGGGCCATGTCATGCTAATCTTCATTCTCTGTATCGTTCCAATTTTAACGGATGTTAAGGGGAAAAAAAGCTCGCCTTGGACGTGGGATCGAGGCAAAATTTTCTAGTTAGTATAAACTTACTACAAAGTTATATATGAAAAAAAATCTTCATTCTCTGTATCGTTCCAATTTTAACGGATGTTAAGGGGAAAAAAAGCTCGCCTTCGACGTGGGATCGAGGCCAAATTTTCTAGTTAGTATAAACTTACTACAAAGTTATATATGAAAAAAAACAAAGTTAATCATCCTAGGACTTTTCGACTGAACTGAGGAAAGTAGGAGTTTTCGACTGAACTGAGGACGTATGTACGGTCGGTGACATCCAGGATTGTACGGAAATGTGCATCCAGGAACATCCACTTTTGTGTGTGTGTGTGTGTGTGTGTGTGTGTGTGTGTGTGTGTGTACTCGGAAGCAGAGTACGAGACCGAACAGCAGACACATCCACTCTCCCAGAAGGTCCACAATCAAGATACGATGATGATGCGTGAGAAAAGGCCCGCGTGGGACGGTTGGTCCTGCCTGTCCTTCCCAAATCCGCATCAGCTCCTTTGGGGGGGAAGTGGGGAGGAAAAAGGAGGAGGAGAGGAAGGGGGGGGAGGAAGGGGGGAAGAGAGAGGAAGGGGAAAGGGGGGAAAGCAATAGCCAAATAAGGAGTTCAAGAACAGGCAAACAAAAAAGCCCCTTTGCCCCCACACACCACTCCCCCACCTTTCCCCCGCCCCCTCCCTCCCTCCCCGCCCCCTCCCTCCCCCCCGGCGAGAAACATATGAAACTGGTACAAGACAAGGAAAAATGCGTCAATGATAGACCCCCCCCCCCGGCCATTCTTTGATTGAGGGCCAGTAGTTGCACCACTCGTCATGCGCCAACATTTTGAAGGCATCTGGACATCGGTTTTGCCCAGATGCATCCAAAATCCTGGCGGTTGGCAAGTGATGCAACGATCCTTCTTTCCCCCTCCCCCGAATGCAACGTAAGGTCATCATTGCTGTACTTACACCGAAAACTGCTCCAAATACAGATATGATGACCGTACGTTGTTGAATTCGGGTGAAGAAGGTAGGTCCAGAGTTCCACATGCCCTTCGTGGTTGCCTTTTTTTTTTTTTTAATGTACAAAATCATTACTAAGTAATAAAAAATATAAGAAGTTGCTGACACACCATTGACGGGAGAAAAGCCTAAGCTGCTGACGATTAAATTAAGAGCTGATGATTACACAATCATGTACCTGATACTCCATCCCCAATGATCTGAGTCAGACCTCATGCTTTCCTTCCACCCCCCCCCCCCTCCTCCCTCCCTCCTCCCTCCCTCCTCCCTCCTCCCTCCTCCCTCCTCCCTCCTCCCTCCCTCACCCTGAAGAGAAGTGTCTCTTGCACATTATTTAGAAATTCGTTCCAAGGAAGTCTCATTAAAAAAACCTGCTCCACGAGAAGAGGGGAAACAGGCGGGAGGGGGGAAGAGGAGGCGGAAATGCAGAGAGGACAGACTCTCTGCATCTCCTCCCTCACTCGTCGCCTACCTTCGTTCCTTCCTCTGTACCTACTACCTCTCTTTCCTATCTTCATACCTACCTTCGCTCTCCACGTATCTTCTTCTTCTTCTTCTTTTTTTTTTTTTTAAATGGAAGGAGGAAGATCAGATATTGCACTGATGATCAGAACAGATTCTACACTTGATTTACAGTAATTTAGATTTACTTTAACCCAAAAAATGCCGAGAAAAAAAAGGTATCTTTCTCCAGATAGCGTATCTTATCTTACCATCTTACCTCTGTCCGTCTACTTCATGTTTCCTGCAGGCCTTCACTACTAATTACCTCCATCCGCTCTCTCTCCCATCGCTCCTACCGCGCCGTACCTACCTACCTACCTACCTACCTACCTACCTTCGTTCTCCTCCGCCACGTGTCCTACCTCCTCCGTCAGTCTAACTCGTTTTCACCCATCCATTCCCTAATTACCTCCACTACTCTCTCCCACCCATCGTCCAGCATCACGTCATGGGCAATGCGCGCCACGACGACTGGCTTCGTGCCGTAGAACTCTGCCGTCTCCCCGATCCCGACATCATCCATGATTGTGTCGTATTCTGCACCTAATGCTAGCACAGGTGGTGGGTGCGCTGGCCTTTCCAAAAGCGGATACAGCTTCCTCAGCTTACCGAATTCCAAAGTAGGCATTTTGCTGCTTTGGGAAACGAGCTGATGATACCTTGCAAGTTTGTCTTCTGCTATGGACTTAGAAAAAAACAGCAGTCGACACATGTTCGGATCTTTGACATATGTTTTGAATATAAAGGCTATGGTCGTCTTCCACCATGTGATGGGGTCTTTAAAGAACAGCCTTTTGAGCAATGACCCACTGCCGGTGGGTGGGATTGAACAGCAGAGGATCATGCCCGCGAGGGCGGGATAGTACCACCTCTCTTCCTCCTCTCCCTCCTTCACGCCTGCTACGCCTTTGCTCACCGAGCCTCCAACAGAAGACCCCATAGCCGAGGCTTCAGAATCGTTTCCTTGAGGCGGGGGTTGATGATGTGCGAGCACGCGGCCAAGGTACGACTGCACGATCAGCCCTCCCAAGGAATGGCCACACAGGATGGGAGGAGAGCGCACGTGCTCACGGATAAAGCTTGCTAGATTCTCTGCATGTGAGCCGACGGTTCCAGCAACAGGTCCATCTGGGACGTCGCTCCCGCCCTGCCCAAGAAGACTGATGGCATAGCAATCGTGGCCCATCGCGGCGAAAGCGGGGAGCCAGTGCTCAGCGAAGCACCAAGCCGCATGCGCGCTGCCATGCACGAAAACCATGGGAGCCGGCTGTCCCCTCCCACCACCTACCATATCCGCGGAGGACGATGACGAAGAGAATCTCCCCTCTTCCTCCCGCTCCTCCGCCTCCTCCTCGTCGTTGTCCATAACAGGGACCTGTTTGATCACTTCGAGTTCTAGTCCAGAGGGTAATGTGTGCATGAACGTGGTCTGCTTCGTCTTGCGAGCGATTGGCGGCGCAAAGTGCTCCACGTCAGCAAGGGATCCGGACGTGGCGGCGGCAAATGCGACCGAACTCCGCCGGCGGCGGCGGCGGAGGCGGCGGCGACGCTCTTCGTCGAGAACATGATGACTATCGCCGTGCCCGTCGTCATTACTGCGTTCCATCACTGACACGTCAGCAGGTGATGATGACCAGGAATTGCAACCCCATCGGGCGCAGCCAGTTGTTGCCTTAGAGGATCGAAGCTCTGCCGTCCAGCGACCATCAGCAGAGTGCTTCGTAGCAGCGCTGACGTGGCGCAATCTCGGGGATCCACGTGTCGTTAATGCTGCTGATTCAGCGAGCAACGGCTTGCAGCGCAACCATGCATGCGCGCTGTCGACGACGTCGGGACCCAGACCAGTATCAGCCGCTACCCCCCCCCATCTTGTTCTGCTGCATTCTGCAGCGACAGCAGGTCGGCACGCTGAGTGCACCAATCCAAACGCAACTCCACCCCGTGCCGACCGCACTCCAACTGCAACTGCAATTCCACCTTGACCCAGTCCCGCACTACACGTGGCCATGGATTGGCTTTTGTGCGTAATGATCGATCAGACGTATACGTATTGATCGTCTGATCAGAGAATCGATCCGCAGATCTGTGTAGAGTTGCCACGTTAATTAGTTAATTACATGTGCTTTCTTTAGAAGGGTCTCCCCACCCAACCCAATGGGAGCAGGCTAATGCACTGCGCGCCGACTAGCCACCACGGCGAGGGACATGCGAAATCGAAGAGAGAGCCTGTAAATCAAAGAAAGATAGATGGGTTATATGGTCACTCTTGCAAATCGACACGTGGCATGGAGTATCTCCATCCCGATCTCCTAGATCTGTTCCACTGGCATGTGATCATGCATGCACATGCTACGTTAGGAGTCCTGTCAAACAGAATCAGGGGCAAGGTCCCACTTGCGCAAATTAGGAGATTTCGGCCGTTGATCTTCGCTATCTACAGTCAGTATCTCTTATAAATTCGTGCAAGTGGGACCTAGCCCCAGGGGGCAATCCCATTACGACTTCTCTTCTGGAGGCATCTGGTCGCCTTTCCGGGCGGAATGCGTCCAAAAAGACTCCCTAGTGCGAGAGTGGGTATGACCCTCCCTCATAGCCGGCCGGTCTGTGGTGGGGGCGGCCAGGTATGCCATTCCTGGTCGGTCTGATTGGTGGCGGCGTCATCCAAAACACAGACCTGGGTGGCGTGGTTGGCAGTACAAAACTCGTCGAATTCATCATTTACTCGTCGGCTTCCGTTGATTTCGAACACTCGTTATTTCTCGATTTATGCGTGTCATCCTCGTGCAGGGGCCATGCTAATCTAGAAGCCTTAGGAGTAGTGGTAGGTAGGTAGTGAAGGTCAACACTCTTTATTTACACAGTTTCAGAGGTGCGCCAACTGAGCTACCGGTAGGCCCATTGGTAACCCTGTCGGATTCACTATCACCCTGTTGTTGTTGTTGTTGTTTTTTTTTTTTTTTTTTTTTTTTTTTTTTTTTTTTTTTTTTTTTTAGGAAGCATTATCTTTTATATTATAAGGTAACAGTGGGGCCGGGGAACACACCCCAACAAGTCAACCCGGCACAAAACATGCTGAGGCCATTACTCAGCTTTGGGCTTCTGGAAACCGGGTCCAGTGTCCCTTTCTCCTAGCTCTCCCAAAAGAAAGAAAAATCAGGGTACCAACAAGCCTGAGTTTTGTTCACAGTCTGGGACTTACCTCTAAAACTTATTCCTAAATCACGGTGGGGAGCTGAAACGCTCCCCGTGACCTGTAGGGGCTAGTAGCCGAGGTGCTATATTTATCCTTCCATTTCGATCCAATTGTGCTAACCTGCACTCTCTCCCCCAAGTCTCCCAGAACCATTTCTGGCGTCCCTTCTGTGATCTATGAAACCAATCACTCAGGATTGTAGTTCTAATGCCGTGTGTTATCCTGTTCTTTACTGCCTCGTCTGCTGTGTATTTTCCATTGAACAAACAGTTGTTTCGATCATCCCATAAAACCTTCATTATGATCCCTCAGATGATTTGATCTGTGTATGCCCATTTATTTTCCTATCTGTCTACTGTGTTACGAGTACCAGATAAGATCCATTCATACACGTTTAGTCATTTCTCCCCCCATTAATATAAAGGAACTCATTGATGTTGTCATTCTCATACATATCATAGTAACATCTGGTCCTACGTATTGCATAGCATCAAAAACTGTTATTCCTGCTACTACGGATCCTCCAGGAGAATTAATATACATAAACATCTCTTTAGAATCATCTTCATCATTTAAATATATTATTATACCTATTAATCGATTGGCAATTTCATCATCTACTCTTTGTCCTAAAAATAAAAGTCTCTGTCTATATAAACGATTGATTAGGATTAAAAACTTACTGAATTAACTTTAAATCTATCTTTTCAAGAAGGCACAAATATCAATTGAAACTCGAAATCTTGTGTTCGTATTTTTTTTTTTTTTTAAGAATATTTGAAAAAGATTGTTTGGGTTGGTACATATACCAATTTCCCTTTTTATATTTTATATTTGTTAATCCATTTTGGTAAAGTAGCTATCAAAGATTTGAAAAACAATTGATTGTGCACAATCTGCGCTCCTTTTTTTATTTTGGGTTTGGGTGTTGATCTCTCAAAGCCAAAGCAATCTAATATACTCGAAAAAAAAACAAAGATTGTAGGCTCGCTAGCTAGAGAAAGATTAATCACTACAATGATACTTTGTCGATCCAAATTCCTTATTCGTAATCGGGTCTCATTGTTTAGTCCACCAGTCTCATATACGTCTTGATGCAGGACACTTAAGCCATAGATGCCTATTGTTCTCCCACATCCACCTGCAACGTACACAACTTGTAGAAATTTTCATTACTTTCTTGACGAGGCACACTGCTGAAGTTGTGGCTATAAACAATGGCAGCCAGAGCATACTCGCCAGTTTCTGTGGGAACCCTGTTAAATTGTTTACAGAGCGGCAGACCGGCATCCCTGTCCAATGGCAACATACTTGCAGTTCTTGGCGACTTTTTCACCTTTGCTCTGCGTAAGTTTGTACCTCTTTTGGAGGTATATTCATCCAAGGCTATTATGCTTTTCTCCTTGTTACTTCACCAACCAATCCGCCTTATGTCTGCTGGACATTTCGTCAGGGAGCGTAAACCCACAGGTGAGGTAACTTTATACACAAGCTTTCTCCATGCTTGAACTCTTTTGGTGTTGATTCTAACCACCACTTTGTAGTACCCGTCGAGGGAGGCAACTTTGATTGTCCCCCCTTCTTGTAGTTCCTTCGTGTACTCAAAGTCCTCCTGCTTTTTCCATTTTACTGATGCGTAACCTTCGGGTCCCAGATGTTATGTGACATGAAGAACTGCCTGATTGTTAGAACTCGCCCTGCACTAAAAACCTTCTGTTGGGATATAATCTTTCGCAATCAGCAGAACAAGCCACCAACGTGGGATAGCCTGCTGGATTTTTGTGAGTCTATCTTGTATTTTTCTTAATCTCCTCAGTTTTCCTTTAATTACTTCTATCGGCTCCTAACTCTTTCTCCTCTCATCACAAATATCTCGGATGCGGACTAACGCTCTTTCTATCCAAGACCTACCAAAGTTCCCTGGACTATCGTGAACCGAAAATTCATGTCCGTGCCTATTAAGCAGTAAAGGGTTTTAAAAGATTATCTGATTTAAGACTGACGCTTTAGTTGATGGTTGTTCTTTGACCATAGGGAACACTTGTTGCCATGCCTTCAAAATATTTTTTCAAAAGGTGGATTTGGGTTTTTTAGCATCTTCCAACCTGGTTAGGGACCATTCCTTGCACAATATGTAGGTTATCAACCTTATCCATGGGGCATCTTCCTCCGTTACTAGGGCTTTAACCGGCCACTTGGCAAGTAATGCAATATTTTGCTGGTGTGGATCCAATAGACCCGGACCCCGATCATCTCTAGGGAAGGTCATTGTCTCCTAGACAACTTTGGAGAAGAAGTTTTGTTCTTGCTTCGCTTCAGGCTTTCATAGTAACCTCGCTGCTGCTTTCTTGATCCTCTTGTATGTATCATCTCCCAGCAGGTGCACAACCAGAAAAAAACACAGCGCAGAGAAGGCCACCAACGTAATCACCATTGCCCTTCCTAGGAGAGGGAGGTGTCTTGTGTTCTTCCATGTATTGATTCGACTGATAATTTTTTCTTCCAATAGGGAGTCTTGAAATTTTGCATTAGACGACAAGGCAACTTGAACACCTAGGAAGCGCTTTGATGCGTTAGTAGGCACTTGTTTCAAACCCCAATGTACATGAAGGTTGTGATTACTGGGTAGAAAAAATGTAGATTTGGTCGAGTTTATAAAAGTCTCTGATAGATCACAGTAGGAGTTGATCGTTTGTCTTAGTGCTTTAAGCGATGGCCGAGAGTTCAGACAGACTATTGTGAGGTCATCTACCAGAGCTCCCCCTTTCCATTGCATATTTTGTTGAAGTTCAAGTCCTCTAATTTCTTCATTGTATCTTATGTTATATAGCAGGACCTCCATGTGTACCACAAACAACAACAGAGTCAGCGGACATTCCTAGCGTAGGGACCGTGTCAAAAAAAATTGGCGTGACACGAACCCATTCACAATGATTGCCGTTGTTGCTATCGAGTATATAATGGCTATCCAGCGGGAGAAATTCACACCGAACCCCATGTGTTTGAGGGTTGTCATCACCAAACCCCATGTGTTAGAGTTTTCATTTTGCCTCTCAAAGATACTTTTGTTTGCGGTTCTGGCCCCAAAAAGGTGCAAGTACGCTTGCAGGTCTCCCCAACCTGTTATGTTTTTGGCAGACCCTTTTCAAAAGGTCGCACAACTATGTGGTACTACTCCGGCCTTGCCTGAACTGTTTTTTGGGAAAAAGTTATTGATTCCCCCCCCGCAAAACCTTTGTCATTTTTGCACCCCAAAATGGTTGCGCCATGTGGGAGGTCCCCCGAAAAACCTTCGTGTCATTCTTGCACCCCGGTTGGGCTGTTACATCACTTTGCCACCACTTTTCCACAACGATGTCGAGCGTATCGGTCCTGCAGGGGGACCCTCCCGACCGCGTCACGCAGGATTCGTGCAAGACTTTTTCGCGATGGAGCTTTTCACCACTCCGACCAAGTGCGCCAGCCATACCTCTCGCGAACCCCTATGGCAGGATAGGGTCATGCGAGGAACAACTGACCTCCGCCCAAGGGGTTGTCACCCCCCTTAAACGGGCGTATCCCCGCCGAGCTACCGAACCACGTGCGAAAGCTACTCGGTTGCAATCGCAGAGGTGGTCCAAACGAGAGCGTTTCTCTTACTTTGTAGCATAGGGGTACGTGCAGTCGCACGCTTCCATTGAACCCGTATGCGAGTCGACACACTGGGGATGATGTCTCAAGCGTGACTCGAGGCCGGTCGACTAGGACATATCCTTCTTACCACGCGTTACACCATTCCAAAACAAAAATCAAGTTACACACACAAAACACTCCTAGTCCCTTTTTGTATCCAACCCATAACGTTTCTAACTCAAAAATCGGTTAGGCATCGCGTGCGAGACTCATAATAAATACCGTGCGGACGCAGGCTTCCTCATATCGACTAGCCATGCATGAATATGCAAGTAATCG